AAGTTCATTATATAAAACTTTTGAACTTGCCAGTATATTCTCTATGGCCACAAGCTGACAAGTCATGCACAGAGTCTATGGACGAGGCTGCTCTGAAAAATATTCTGTGTTGCCATCAATTGCCATAGAGAAGATAGGTAGATACAGCTTTACATATAAAAACTGTTCTACAAAAACACTGACTGCCCCACCTGGCCAATACTTTCTATCTCACCCTGCCTCGGAAAACTGCACCGCCACCCTCTTGGCAAGATTCCTTGCACTTGTTCAATCAATTACACACGGCAAGAAAAGCTCATGTCCTAACTCACCCTATGGGGTAACCAACGTACTGAAGTAGCATGCAAAGTTGTTTTTTGTTTTTTCAAACAAGATGAACCTGCCATGACTATTCCTTCAAATTATTTCAATCTTTATGGGTCTTCCACCACATTTTATGTTCTAGCCATTCACTCCATTTGTGCTTATAAAACATTTAAACAATAAAAGTCAGTAAAAGGAGAATTCTACGTGTTTGAAATTTAGATTTTTTTTCCAGTTGAAATCTGAATAAACTTCACCTGAAGTAACATTAAGCACAGAGAAAACCAGTCAGCAGGAGTCCAGTTGCCAAGCCAGGCATACAGAGAAGCACACGTTCTGCCCCCGTCCCCTCCCTCCTGAAAAGGGAGGATTTTATCCCAATTACAACAACTGTGTAGCAGAATAGAGGCAAAACAATGGGTTCTGCAGTAGTGACACTGAGCTTCAATGGTCCGTTTGTCATATTTATGTGGGGGAAGCAGCTACTAGCATCACTTACAGCATGTTTAATACCAAGGGGTTTAATTTTTAAAATCCTAGAGATAAAAATCCATCTCCTGAATTCAGGAGCTGACACAGGGAGGACAGCAACATGGTTGATAACCCAATACAGTTTAATACTGTCATTATACACATGATACCAAACAACATCAAAATAATAAAACAGCAGTATTGCATACTTGATTTGCAAAGTTAGTCTCATGCTCCTGTCTCGGTCTCTCTCCCTCCAGCTCCCGGTTTCTGTCAGCAGAGCTTGGGCAGGGTTAGTCTGAAATTCAGATTTTTCAGGGCTAACCTGCTGGCGGAGGTGGGAAGAGCTAGTGGCGAGCTCCTTCCTCTGCCCTCACCTGCTAGTGCCTCTTTTTTTTAGCACTGCAGTGAAACAGAGCTGCTTTGGGTATGTGCTGAAATTAAACCCAAGTGAGATGAAGACCATGTTGACTGTTTAAAGAAAGTGCTGCAGACTTGGAGCAGTAATTGGGTCCCCATAACTGATTTAAATTGAAAACAAAACAGAACAGGACAGTGTTTAGGTA